GTGACGGTTGTAGCTGGGACCAAGACGCTGCACCTATCAGGGGAGTGCCACTGCGGTGCATTCACTGGCTCCAACCTCACCATTTTTTTTTTCTTAGTACATATATTGTAAAGTATTCTTAATTTGTCGTTTTATCTAGTACAAACCTTACAAAGATCTCAGTTAAATAACACAACGTTTTTGGTGGACGGTATCTATTGGTAAGTAATGTTACATTCTCGTAGCTCACGGGGTAGGGGATTGGACCAGGGTAGGTAACGGTGCGAGTGAAAATTTTGGAATAGCAAGCGTCTATAGGCTATAATAGCCACATACCATCGGGCGTGCCATAAGCTTAGACGTAGTGAAGTCCCTCAACGGGAATCTCGCGGATCCGCACTTAACAGCGTAGAGGGTATTTATTTCTTAGGTTTTCACGCACATCACTCATTAAAAAAAACTAGTTTTCACGGTTTAATGCACGAAACTTTATTACATTAAAACAAAAAAAAAGTTGATTCCGACGACGCAGCCTGCAAAGGCTGCGAAACGTCAATAAATAAATAAAGTTTCGTGCATTAACCCGTGAAAAACTAGTTTTATTTAGCGTAGAGGGTATTTGCAGGGTTTTTTAGTTGATACTAGGCGTGAGGTCCGTTTGTTGGTGTGCCCTTAAGGGCGCCAACGTCTGTAAATAGAGGTTTTAGCTGCGTAATAAAAAAGGCGTGCCATTAGGTTGTTTGCTGCGATTTTAACATAAAAGAAATAAAAATAGCCATGGTTGACTTCTTCCTATTACATCATAGTGAGAGAGGCTATTTATTTCTGTGATGGTTGGTATTACAACTAAAATTACTCTGTTTAAGATTTAATTTACTTCGCTCTCACCCAACTTATGAAAACAGATTGTTGAAACTTGGTATGCAGTCATTGATATTTCGTAGGAAATATTTAGATGAAATGACTCTGCATAAAATTATTCACTCTCAGTTAGATTCTCCCTACCTGCTGTCCCATATTAGTTTTAATATTAATTATCGCTTTAGAAAGCCTATGACATTTTTTCTTCCTGTATATCTTAATAAAACTTCTTATTATAATCCTCTATCACGTATGTGTCGCCAATATAATGAACTCGTTAATGGAGCAGAAATAGATGTATTTGATCGTAGATCTTTAGTATTTAAAAAGAATCTAATTGCTAATTTGTAACATTTATAATTTTTTAAACTATTTCTAGTAATCAATTTAAAAAATATATAATAATAGACAATATATACCGTGTCCATTGTCACGTGTGACGCTCGTAGCGTTTTAGAATTCGCCGAGTTACCCTCCAACTTTCATGCTCGTCGGGAAAAGCTGCGCATGCATCCCACATATACACACATTCATTTAAATAGTCGTGTGACGCTCGTGACGTATTTCATCTTTTCCATAGGATTTTTCCATTAACACCCCGTAGGAAAATAAGTTGCACTTGAAAAAAAAACATACTTTCAACGCGCAGTAGGTACAGTGGATCGTGAACGGGTGCTGCCAGTGGAGATAAGATGTAAATGGTTAATAACACCTATTATAAATAACTCTATTTGTATATATACTGTGTGACACAGCAATCAAAATGCAGGTGAACAGTTAATGTATAATTTCACATTATGTAATGAAAGGTGACTTCATGAATCATCTTTGAAGTCATTTTTCAACTTGACGATTCTGTAAATGATAAAACAGGGAGAAAAAAAAACAGCCCTTGCTGAGTTGCTTGCCGGTTCTTCTCAGTACAAGGTCTCCCGCCGTAGATTTACGAACCGATGGCGTAGCTTCAAGACATTCATAACTAGTTAACAGCCTAAACTGAATAAATGATTTTGATTATTACTTATATACTCAGTATCGTGCTTCAGATAATATTAACGTCACAGACTTTAGTTCTTGCTCGTTTAAATATTTATGTTTTTACTCATCACCGAGCTTGCATTTTGTAAAAATATATGCTAAAATTGAAAAAAAAAGAAGTATAAAGAAAAGAAGTCTCATTTTGGATTAGTATATGTTATTATGTATATAGCTTAAGAATAGCTGGAAAGAATTTCGACGCGGTCCGTGAGGGCCGCGGTAGCATAATTGGTCAGTGCATTCGCCCGGATTGCGAAGGGTGCGGGTTCGAGTCCCGTCTGCTGCCTGGTCCGCGTGGAATTTTTCCTAGTTATATTTTCTTTAGATTTAAACATCAAGCAGTTACATGCTTTAAAAATAATAAAAATTATAACTATAATTGCTATTTCTTCTTTCAAATGTTTAATACTTGTAAAAGTATTCATTTGACATTGTGGGTTTACCTATAATGCGAAGAGATGGCGCTGCCTTGCAGCTTAAGAATAGCTGGAAAGAATTTCGACGCGGTCCGTGAGGGCCGCGGTAGCATAATTGGTCAGTGCATTCGCCCGGATGGCGAAGGGTGTGGGTTCGAGTCCCGTCTGCTGCCTGGTCCACGTGGAATTTTTTCTAGTTATATTTTCTTTAGATTTAAACATCAAGCAGTTACATGCTTTAAAAATAATAAAAATTATAACTATAATTGCTATTTCTTCTTTCAAATGTTTAATACTTGTAAAAGTATTCATTTGACATTGTGGGTTTACCTATAATGCGAAGAGATGGCGCTGCCTTGCAGCTTAAGAATAGCTGGAAAGAATTTCGACGCGGTCCGTGAGGGCCGCGGTAGCATAATTGGTCAGTGCATTCGCCCGGATTGCGAAGGGTGCGGGTTCGAGTCCCGTCTGCTGCCTGGTCCGCGTGGAATTTTTTCTAGTTATGTTTTCTTTAGATTTAAACATCAAGCAGTTACATGCTTTAAAAATAATAAAAATTATAGTATATGTTATGTTTATTTTAGTTTACGCTGTAAATTTTGTGCGTAGATAGATAGTGGCAATATACGTACGACGTGAAATATACGTTTTTACTCATTACCGAGCTTGCATTTTGTAACAAAATGCCGCGTGGCCTGCAAGCAAGTTCGGCGATAACTAAGAAACGTAAATATTTGTGAATATTGCGAATGTAAAATTATTAAATATTTTTTGGGAAACAAGACGACACCTTTGTATGCTTTTGGAGATCCGTTTCGATCCGATTTTGAATTAATTGATATACGATCCATTAGCATTCGTCCACAAACACGGACGTATACGAGTGCCCGTTTAACCCTATCACCCGTAATTGCCACCGTAAACTACCCGGCCACATCATCCATAACTAAATTGCGGCCAAACAGATCCCGTAAATCATTGGCACGTTTGGAATTAATTCGGTAGTAGGTAGTTCCTGTAGGTACCTGAATTCTAATCGGCGCGCAATCAGCTGGCTTTTGTGAACGAGTCATGGCCAATGTACGTTTTCATTAAAATTCGACGTAGAATTAGTGGCCGTTACTTTAAGCTGTGTTTAGGCTGCATGCAAATGTTTCAATGAATTTCTGTCGATTCGGTGCCAGATTTATGGAGTCTAATAAAATAAGTGTAAAAGTTTTTATGTTTGTGAAACTATCACGCAAAAACGGCGGAGCGGATCTGGATGAAATTCGTGAATGAAACAAATATAGTGTATTACCTGGATTGAGACATAGGATACTCTTTATACCGATTTTTTTATGTTCCCGTGGGATTCTAGGGATTCTCAAAAATAAAAGTTAACGCATACGAAGTCGCGGGAGACCGCATAAATGTAGCATCTATCTAGTCCGTTCAAAACTTTATAACCAGAGTAAAACTCTGGTTACTCTGCTTATAAAGTTACGACCAACCGGTCGTAACTATTCCATAGTCTTAACAGATTTCTGTAGAGCATCCTTCTGGAGAAGTAACCTCCGCCTTACAAAAGCGGCCGCTATGAAATAACACTATCTTTTGAAGGTGCTGTGTTTCTGTAGGTCATAATGAACTACTTACAATTTTAAGAGTCCACGGGATGAAATTGAAATTATGAAAAAAGCATGCTGACTTGAATCGAATTCCATCGACGAAAAAAGATTGACTGGACTCCTAATTATAATCAAATAGGATGTGATTTTACAAAATGATTTCCAAAATATAGGAAAACAGGATGCCGTTTTGTATTGTAATAAAGATTTTTATTTCCAATAGTAAATTGAATAAAGTCATGAGCATAGGTTGATTGGTAATTTTATAGAACTTGACCGATTTGGCTCTTCTTTTATTCATAATTATTGTCAGAAAAAGGTTTGTGTGAAAGGATTATAAGAAAATCCAGCAGTAACCACCAGAAAGTACAATTTATGTTATAATATTTATTGTTATCCAAAAATTTCTTATCGTTCTTCGCCAGTAAATTGTGCACCCGATAGGTGCAGATATAACTAAAGTAGGTATTAAAATAAATAAAGGTGTACATGGCTATTACGGGTTCGGCCAAACAATAATCTGGCAGAATCTTGTTTTTCTAAATTCATTTGACATAACACACTTGGCATAATCTTCTTTAAACGATTATTTTGAAGGGGTATTTTTTATAAATAATTATTGTTTGGCCGAATGTTTATAGATCCAAATTCACAAGTGTATACTTTTAAGATCACGGAGTTTTATTGGGTATAATTATTTTTAATTTTTGGCTTCCTTACTTGTATATTATAACTAGCAAATTAAGCATTAGCTAAGTCCAAGATGCTGAACTGGATGATAATTGTGACACTGTGACACATCCTTTACCAAATCCGTAAACAAGTGGGCCTTCTACAAAAATAAAAACGACAATCTAAACGAAATTCGTCATTCAATTGTTTATATTTTAGGTAGTAACGCGTTTCAAAAATATAAATAAGCATTCATACGACGAACTTCGAATGACTTTCATTTATATTTATTACACTTGTTCTTGATTTCCTAAGTTGGCTTGTATTTTAATAGGTTTTACATATAGTATATTTTGTCGTGGTCATAAAATAAAATGAATGAATATGAAGAACATAATACTTTATTTTTGAAAACTGGAAGTAAGTATTGAAGTTCAAAGAATTCTCTCAAGCTAAATTACAACGACGAATGGAGCATGAATGTTGTTATAATTACTTTTTATGACAAAAACAGTTGAGCTGTATGCATAACAAATTACCTTGTTGTGATAATAACCACGCCTTAATATATATTTGTCCGTAAAAAAAATTTGGTCCAAGGTAGCTATGTGCTAATTCATCGACTTCCATCATTATGTGATAAGTTCCCTGAAATTAGATGACACTGGTTTAATTAGACAATAATATGGAAAAGGGAAAAATTCAATATTGAAAAATAATTATCAAACCCATAGTAAGGCCCACTTGCACCAAAATTCTTAATTAAAATTTAAAAGTTTAATTCGGTTTAAGCTTCATTCTAAGTCTATTTTACTTTAACAATTGACAAATGTGAAATTATGCCTTAAATTAGGCCTTAATTTGAATTAAGAATTTTAGTGCAAGTGGGCCTTAATTTATGTATGTATCCATAATCCATAATCACACTAATATTATAAAGGCGAAAGTTTGTGAGTTTGTATGTTTGTTACTTCTTCACGTCTAATCGGATGGAGCGAATATAATAAAATTTTGGTATGGAATTAGCTGACACCCTGGATTAACACATAGGCTACGTTTTACTGCGGGAAAATATCCCTAATAAACCGCTTGGCACAGCTAGCAATGGCATAAAAAGGAAAGTTTAGATTGTTTGTTTGCTTGTATTGAATGGGCTCCGAAACTACTGAACCGATTTAAAAAATTCTTTCTCATTTAAGATGCTTAATTATTCGTGTAAAACATGGACTATAGAGCATTTTCTAAAAAGTAAGGGTTTCGTATGAAAATTTCGATTATGTAATAATATGTGAAAGAAAAACAATAAAATTAACCTTATATCGCGTGCGCTGTGAAATTCATTGACAATAGAGCAAAGTGACATACTAAAGTTTTATAGAGGACATCAATACCTACAAAAAAGTTCACAATACTATATAAATAAATAAATAAATAAATATTCACTCACACCAATTAGCCTAGTCCCAAGCTAAGCACTATAAGGCTTGTGTTATGGGATACTAGGGTAACGGATAGAATACATATACTGTACATATGTATATACTTATATTTATAAAGAAATACATATTAAACATCCATGACTGGAGTACAAATGCTCGTATTCATCACACATACATCTGCCCCCACCGGGATTCGAACCCGGGACCTCTCGAGTGGGCGACACCATGAAACCCGGCGTACAAACCACTCGGCCACGGAGGTCGTCATATACGTCTAACTATTACAGTTATGTCACAATAAGATGTCCCCTGCTGTTACACCCGCCTGAATTTTAGGAAATAGGTTATAGTGAGCCGATCTTAAAAGATGGATATATGGAACTTTTAAAGGGGATCATTTATATCATATATGATTTTTATGTAAATTTACCGTTTACGCAACACGCGCAATGGAAGCTCACGTAGCAAAAACGGTTAAAATATTCATTTAACCAACTCCTACTGGTCGTAGCGTGATGTAATTATATAGAAAAAGTAATTGTGTATAATACAAGCCTAAAAACAAAAACTATAGTCTATACTAAAGCTCTTAACCGAAGCGAAGCGAGGGCAGGCAACTAGTAGAAAATATAAATAAGTTTTATTTACATAAAATCAGTGCACCTAACCCGTTGACACTTGTTTTATTTAATAAGTGATGTGAGTAAAACTTAAGAAACAAATAGTATAAAATATTTTAGAAGATAATAATATAAGCTTGGCATCAGAATAGCTATCAGGGCACTTTGCTGCTATCTCTTTAGTCGAGCAATCTTCAAACTAACACGACTGCTTCGTCAAAAATAAACAGAAAAGTTAAAAACGGACAAAAAAATAATAGCAGTCAGAGATCGACCTTATACATAAAAAAATTGGCCAAGCGCGAGTCTGACCTCGCTTTATTAGGGTTCCGTAAAATCATTTGTTTGTTTTCGTTATAACTTACAAATTAAATTATGGTGTACACTTAATCGTTGTTTTCAGTATATGTTGTTGAAATACAACACATGGGACATCATATACCGAAATTTCACATTCTTAACTGATCACAAAAAAATTACAACTTTGAATGCTCTTTTTGTTTGTTATTGAAAAAAAATTTGCTGAGCTAAAATGAGTTCTAGATAACGATGTGTCAGATGTTGAGGAAAAAAAGAAAAAATCCTCTCATTTTAATTTTTTTTTCATATAATGTCCCCATCAAAAATAATTTAATTTAATTTTTAACGAAACGTGCGACCTCGTATAAGCATTCTTCATAAAATACTAAAATTTACTATTTTTAAACCATAAATTTTTCAGTTGTAGAGCTAAAATTCAAATCTTAAAGTACTTACTTTTTTTGCGAGACAATTTTTTGACCCTATATATTTAGAGAAAATAAAGTTGAAGAAGTAGTGATTACAGGGATTTTTTCTATTATAAGTCCATAAACTGTTAGAGCGATTGTTTTTTTTCACATTGTATATATTTATCTTGAACTGAAATTAAAAATTTATATTATTACAGATTCATGGCTGTGAAGTTTTTTTTATGTATTTTTTTTACCTCGGTTATTCTTGTATCCGCCATATACGTAAAGTTCATGTTTATTGTTGGTGATGTTCTATTGTTATCAACATCAACGCTATAAATACTTGAATTGCGAACTTTGGGCCCTCGACAATATATGACATCTGTAACTTCCAATATATACGGCCCCTGTGAAAGATTATGATTTCACACAATAAGCAACACAATTAAATCGATCGTGTTGTTCGTAGATCGTTAAAGAGAAATTCGATTGGTACAAACCGATTTCAATAACCACTACACCACATTTGGTATTAGTTCCAGCCTAAAATTATCTAAAACAAATGTGGTAGGGTAAAAATCGGATAGTTGTCCCATTTTTCAATAAACCTCTATTGTTCAAAAATATGGACTTATTATTGTACCTAATGCATCATTTATATCAACACACAGGTCCTTGATCTTACATAGTAGCCTAGTTTTGTAAAGTTAAGTTAGTTATTAGAGGTACTTGTACTTTACAAACATATTTTTATCAATTTATGTAAGCAGTTTTCAATATTAATTGCTTGTGTCTTTCTCTTGAACTTTTTTCGTGATTGCCACCTTTATTTTACAGTATTACTCCTGCTTTCTTGACTAAACAGATGTTAGCAGTTTCATTCCTTATTATTTCAAGCGCTATTTACGAAGCAATTTAATCTCATGAAAAAGGAATTTATCATATTTTAATCAATTTTAATTCACGAGTTGTAAAACATTAAATAAATAATTTATAGTTGCCCATGAAGCAACTATTTGCAAAAGTGAAAAGTGCTACTATTATTTTGGATAAATCACTCTTTTTTTCTATAAAATGAATAAAACCTATTGAATGACAGGACATTAGATACTCCAATGCATACAGAGAAACGAAGAAGAAGTATACTAATCAGTTTAAAAAATATTCAAAAGAATGTAACAAAAATCTTTACGTTAGAGAAGAGCACTTACGCCAAGAACATCCATAACATAGTGTACTCAAAACACAGGCAAGTATCCAACAACGGCGACTATTTAGCTTTTACCCTAGGTTGCCAGCCTATAGGTTTTTATTTTGTACAGGAAAAAGGCAGCTGGTGCGTTCTCCTTTTTCATTACTCCCAAAGTTATTATTTCATGAAATAGGAATACGATTATAAACTTAAAATATTATTAAATTTTAAGTACAAGTATCGTTTATACCAGATGTATATACAGTCTAGAATTGCTTAATTCTGGGCTAAACTTTTTATAAGTCCAAGAGCCACGCAAGATCTCGCTTCAAAAATAACTTTCTTTTAATTCACATTATAGAGACGTGACATGAAATAATATCTGAGTTATATAATGAACAAATGTACAAATTTGGCACGAAGATGGTTTATTGGTGTTGTTGGATTGCAATACAGGTTCTGTTTTGTAAGCATCAAGAGATAGGTACAATAGTAGTTTTTCAATGTTTCAGAATATTATAAAATATATTTTTAACAAAAAATTAAAACCACCGAAAAACTGAAAAGCAAAAATACTAAACTTTTTTATATAATATAACCTTAAGTTCTTAAGCTAATGTAAGTATAGGTACCTAAGTAATTTTGAGTTGGCGCCAAAAAAAATTGGTACATATTTGGAAACTGAATGAGTTAAGCTGGGAGCATTTTACATGGTTTTCAGATAGTGTCTTAGATCCTTAACATAGAGTAGGTAGTATTTGAAATTTATATCTTCATACTCACGAAATTTTCGTTTGAATTTCTCAGTATTTCAGTAGCGTAAGTGTAAATAACACTTAAAAAAACATAGTATGTCAAAATGTAAATGAAAACGTTAATTTTAGAAATCATTTCTTTATGGAGCTGTTATATAATTTTTATATGATACAACACACCTAGTATTGTAGGACGATTTAAAAAAAATAGGAACATTGGCAACTGATCATAATTATTATAATTGCGCGGTTGTAGTGATTTATAATAATATCACATGATTTTGTTTATGATAAAATTGATTTGTGACATGAATACAATACATTTTATTGTTGTTATCATCAGTGAGTCGTTAAAAAGTCATTGCTTAAACACGATAAACGTAGCAAATCGTTTTACATGCAGTGGGGGGGAAGGGGTAAAAAATGCTAATGGCCGCAATCAGTTGAATAATTCCCTCCACTACAATGCCTTACTAAAGCCGAGGTTCGAGTCTCAGGAACACCATCTAGTTGAGCCCAGCCCCTCAGATTTGAGTGGTCTAGAGGCTTCAGATGGAGAGGAGACTCCCCCCGGGGGAAGATGCCATCAGCCTGAAATTCCTGTAGCGGTAGTCGCCGATTTTGGCTTGTAGTCCTTTTAGGATCTCACCGTCCCCAAGCCCGGTGACGCTGTACAGACCATCTGCAAACAACGGCATCCCCAAAAACTAAAAAAAAACACAGTTAAATTACTTTTAAAATTGGCTAAAACATATATGATACATGCTTTCCCGACCGTCACACCAAACCGTAGTTCCAGTGTAAGTACCTACTGCCATAAGGTTAGTGCACCGGAAGCGCTTCTGACGCTTAATTTTAAAAAAAGCTGTTAGTAATTTTAACATGTAATCAATTTACAATTACCAACTGTGTTTACATTCGATAACAAACGATTTGGTATGTTTAATTGTACAAGTACAACACACCTTTGTTCCTCCTTAAAGTAGCTTTATCTGAATAAACGTATGGCATCACGAACTTACAATAACACAATTATTAAGATAGCTTAAAGACACATTTCGAAAAAATGAATAAAAATTTTTTTTATCCAAATATTTTTTTGTTTTAATTGGCTACTTTTTCTCAGGTAACACAAAAATTAACTGTGTTTAATGAGAAAGTCAAGTTTATTGCCTGTTATCCACTTTGTTCAACGGACTCAATGATACTAATCCTACTGAATCTTATTAATGTGGATGTTTGTGTATTTGTTACTACGTCACGAATAAATGTTGTTGTTTTAAATGTAATTGTATGTGGAGATGTAATTTAATTTATTTTATGTATCATAATTATAACTATTTATTATTATTTTGTCATTGGCATGCTATGATCTTTATGATTGAAATAAATGAATTATTATTATTAAATGGCTTAATTTGGTGCACAAATAGTTTATTTCCTGGATTGAGACATAGGATACTTTTTATTTTTGATAATATTGTCACAAACGCTCTCGAAACGGAACCGCGAAAGTGCTAGAGATCGAATTTTCCAGAGCACCGCGTGTCGCGATAGAGGTCGAGTAATGCGGCTCATTCTAAAATGTGCCTTATGCAGTGCGGCGTTAGAGAGAAAGTGCACATCTGCACTTGTTTACAAGTTATGCGCGTTACCTGCGTAGGTATAAGTAGGTAATTACATACTCGCGGATACCAGGTAACTCTCAATTCAACGGGTACTTTCTTGAATGCGTCGATCGGCGTATACGAGTATAAGCGCGATTGGCGCCGCGCAGAGACAGTTGAGTTTCAACAGCGATTTCGGAGCGAATCCAAAGGCGATCAAAGTGCAACAAAAGTGTTCAAGTGCGATTGGTTAGAGACTTGTATGGTGAAATACAGTGTTTAGTGAGTGTTTCGTAATTAACATTGTGCGTTAATTGGGTGAACTGTGTGGTGAATAAAGAACTGTCAAGCGTGAACTGGCATATAATTTCGAACCCCATCCCGACACGTAACAATATGTTAGGTTAAAGAAAATATAACTAGAAAAAAATCCACGCGGACCAGGCAGCAGACGGGACTCGAACCCGCACCCTTCGCAATCCGGGCGAATGCACTGACCAATTATGTTACCGAAGTTCTTTTAGCCATTCTTAAGCTGCAAGGCAGCGCCATCTCTTCGCATTATAGGTAACCCACAATTCCGATTTTCGATGTTCGAGTCCCGTTTGCTGCCTGGTCCGCGTGGGTTTTTTTTCTAGTTATATTTTCTTTAAATTTAAACATCAAGCAGTTACATGCTTTAAAATAATAAAAATTATAAATATGTTAGGTTCTTGTGGAATTTACCAAAAACCGCGAAGGCTGTTGAAATATTCCGTTAAAATATTGTATATCAATACTGAATATTTTGTGTATGAGTCCAACATGGGCCGGTTTTATTTTTGAAGTATTGCCTATAAAGTGAAGATATTGTTGAATTCCCATAAATTCAATAGTTTGTTCGGTTCAGACTACAATTTTTTTCATAGCCAATAAATTGCTGACATTACGAAACAATTGTATGTGCATTGAATTCGCTTGGTCATCCATAACTGATTCAGATTAGAACTAATTACATCTCCGTGATTTATGGACCAGCGAGATCAGATATACACGGACGCTCGTATACAAAAGTGAATTTATGTTGAAAAACTACGCTTTCACCGAACTTTTTTTATTTTGGGGAAACTCGACTGTTTATTTTTTTTAACTGTAACTTTTGGTGTGTTTATTCTTTGGTTTTTAAAATAAATAAAATAATGTCCACTTATGTCAACATTTACTAACCAAGTCGCGATTATATCGCATCGAACATATTATGTTCAGAAAATTAACATATCAAGTTTTTTAAACATTTGTAAGTACCTTTTGCGGAGCCTAATTTTTGAAATAGACTCATCGTAAAGACTATTTATGGGTTAATGTTTTTCTTCTTTGCGTCCTCGAAATATCCGATTGTGGTGTTTCTATGATTTTTTCTTTATCCGAGCTCAGGTTGCCTTTCAAAAAACGAGTATTTCCTTTCTGTGTCACAGCAAAACAAATTGGCTGTTTTTGTTCACAATCAGTTTTCTCTATAAGTGTAATATTATTAGGATGTCACATCGTTGCTTAATTAGAGAGTCATAATTGAAATGAATATAGGTAATTAATTAACCTCGCGTATAAGACAATGATTAAAGTCAAATTACGCGTTAGCGGAATTTAGTCCAAGTTTTGTATGGAGTGTTAATGTTACCGGAAAAAAAAATTAACATAACTTGTTTCAGGTATCAAACAAAGCATCCTGTAGCTTTTACTGCCCAAATGAAAGTAAGTATTTCTTGAGCTACAAAGTATTTCGAACTTAAATGAGCACATCGACATCTTTGCACATCAAATATAGTCATCAAAAATGTCGAAGCAACATGTTGTACGGTTTTGAACGATTTGACTGTTGCAAAATATTTATACTATACTATTATTGACATGATCGGAAAATTTTAATTTTTAAAATCAGCTCGAATATTCTCGGGAACCAAAAAGATTGTATACTAATTTACGGGGCTAAGAAAAAAAATCGAACCTCAATTAATACCTACATACAGTTTCTGTAAATGATGTATGTTGCTTAGACTTTTTTGATGTGTATAGAAGGTAAACGATCACCAACACTTACTCACCTAAAGATTAGTTTCGGTTACCAATTGTATTTTTTTGGTTTCATTACTATTGTTGAGGATTATTTAAATATTGAGTTCGATGGCGCAGGTAGAGGGTGATTGGATGGGTGACTATAAACTTATATCTCGAGTTCCTCCATGCTTCGGAAGTCACGTTAAGTCGTTGGTCCCAGCTGCGTATGTAGTTGTAAATACCCACCAATCCGCAACTGATCCAATTCTCCCCATAGCATCCACAGATACGGACTGTGCTCCAGCAGTGGGGACATTAATAGGCTGGTGATGATAATGATGAATCATGGTACCATTTATTCATCGTAAACCTAAGGCGTTTAGAAAGTAATAGTAACTTCTAGTTAATCCATTACAAAAATTTTCAAAATTATCTTGTCTGTGAATTGACTATCTACTAGGAAAACAAACAGCTGACAGATTCCATTTTTTTATTTCACTGCCTGTCCAAGTACGGAGGTTATTTTACTTGTCCAACAACGTCTTCAACATGATTGTTGCAATCATAAATGATCAGACTATAAGGTAGATACTTGTGAAAACTTAATCTTGTAAATGATATTACGTTTTCACGTCTTATATCCAAACTTACCTTTTCAGCAAAATCTCTTAACTAATTCTCTCTAAAGAAATTCGCAACTTTGTCACGGTCTTAGTAGTATCTCTTAAGTGTCTAATCGAATTTAATTATACAGTCAATTAAGTTGGAGTTAAAGCTTTTATTCAATTTTGTGTTCTTCAAGTTGGCATTAAATTTGAAAGGGTCATATGAAGTATTTTTCTTCGCTGCGCCTTCAAAAGTCGCTATGTGTTTTTGGCGATTTCGTAGATTTTAGTTCATTTTAAAGGCTATTTTGATACACACGTTTCAATACTGACGTAATTATAAAAACTAGCTATGCGGCATTAGCACTAATCCGCACTGGGCCCGCGTGGTGGGTCATTACCCAATCTCCCTATTCCATCCATTAGGAAGGCCTGTGCCCCAGTAGTGGGGGACATTAATAGGCTGGTGATGTGATGCGGCATTCAAACTTTTAATGCTTATTGAAAATTGCTTTGTGTACAAAGTCACTTAGCTATATAAATGCATTCTGCATAAATGTGTTCTTACAAAAATACAAAAAAGGTAACACCGAGGTTTTATTAAAAATGCACTATAAATACTGCTTGGATTTTAATTTTAGCCATTAAGTTGTTTGTAAGTTTTTGTTATTTAATTGTTTAATCAATAAAAAAGTATAAAAGGCTCTCGTCACTGCGATAGTATAACAGGGTTTGTGTGAGGTACTTTAAACACTTTTGTTTTCATAACATCTTAATATATACCTAAGTTATTAAGTGCACATCAAATAAGCAACAAATTATTGACGTGACAACGTCTTAAATTAGGTTGCGGCTGGGAGTCACTTATGAAAAAGTGTAACGCTCGGTAACGTTACGATGAGTCTCTCGTGTTAAGTTTAAGTTTACATGTACAATGTTTTAGT